GTCTTGAACACAATCTCTTGCTCCCTCTGGTAAATATGTATTTCTGATGGTTATTTATTTTCAGAGAATGGATAAGCAAATTAGTGAATATTGATCCCATGGATAGGGGGTTCCCCCGCCATATTTGCATTTTAAAATCCTTATCAAAACAAGGACATACAGGCTACCCCGGGGCGTGGGAAGGAATCTAGACTTCCGTTTGTCCGGAAACCACACAGGTAGAGTTCAGCCCTCTGACATGTTCATCGGTAGAGCCATATCTCACAACCCAAAGGTACACACCTGAGAGGGGCCGAGTCCAACACCCATGATCCCCACACCTGCTGAGGATGATGGGACATGCAGCCCACACCATCCAGAGGATCCCCTGCTGTACATTTCTGCTATTTCCCCTTTTTTTAAAAAACAAATTACTCTTTCTAGCTCAGCCTGGCATGTTTCACATACATCATGATGGTGGCTGCAATACTAGCCAGTGGTTTGCAACTCTTTAAGCCTGTTTGACAGAAAAGGAAAAAGGCTCAGGAGCAGCTTTTGCGGCCACTCACTCACCACGCAGGCGAGCGTCCCGTCGCGCTCGACGATGCACTCTGCTTTCTCGTGGCAGGGGCTGAGTTCCCCGTTGGGACAGCGCCGCTCCGTCTTTCTCCGGCAGCCGGAGACCTGGTCCCCCGTGAAGCCAGGCTTGCACGCCCCACATTTGTAAGAGCCCTGCCAGAAAATACTGGGTTATGGAACGGAAGCGTGTGTGCTTTCTCTGATGAGCGTCTCTTGGTCTGAGACGGGAAGCGCCAGTTAATGAGAAAAAGGAGGGGTGGGAGTTGACCACTTGGGGGAACTTGAAGCTGTTTTGTGAATGTTTAAACGTCTCCTATAAAAGCAGCTCACCCCACTATCAAATCCCTCTTATGATCAAGAAACTTGTTTCTAACGTTTCTCCTTTCTTGGGATTTTTACTCGGGACCCCCTTGCGCCATCTTCCACGGCACCGCCCCTCAAAAGTTTGAAGGTCGTGACCGTATTGCCTCCTCGTCATGTCAAGGGATAACCTGGCCCGCCAAAAGCCGGGTGGGCTTCCTCTTCCGTGACCCACCCAGATGTTGAATTGGCCAACCGGGCAACGCTCGGAGCTTGGCGGAGCGATTTCTGGACTACAGCTCCCGAGATTCTGGGGATTGTATAGTCCAAAAGCCGCTTTTCCAAGCATCGAGGCGGAATGGGGGGGAGACCACCATCCTCATCTGGCTTGGCTTCCCCTCGGCTTCTGAGGTGGGGAAAGAAGAAACTGCATGGTTGAGCCGAAGGTGTGAAGAGTTACCCGGGTGTTGATGCAGATCGAGTTGGGGACGCAGGTGGTGCCCCTTCCGGATTCACATTCGTTGATGTCGCTGCAGACCTGTTGAGAAAGGAAGGTCATGTGGGAATGGAAGGGAAACTCATGGACAGCAGGGGGGGGAAACCCGCCCCCTGTATCCGTGGGGGATTGGTTCTAAGGCCCCCGTGGATGCTGGGAAAAGTGGATAATAACAAACATCTCCCCTCCAGGCCTTACCTGCTTGTGCGCCCGGGCAAAGGCCAGCCCAACGCCCTCGTGCCCTGGGCCAGTGTACCCGGGAGGGCAGGGGTCGCACCGGAAGCCAGGAGCCGTGTTGACGCACTGGACCCGGGGGAAGCAGGGGTTAGCTGTGCACTGGGCGACACAAGGAAGCGGGGTTTAGATTCGGGGTGGAAGGAGAAACGCAGATACCTCACAAATAGTCACGATCCAGCCACGTGTGTGTGCTGACCTCGTTAATGTCGGTGCAGTGGGTCCCGTTGCCTGTGTAGCCCAGAGGGCAGGCCCCGCAGCGGAAGCCGGTGGGGGTATCCGTGCAGGTGACCCCGGGGAAACAAGGGTTGGTGGGGTAACATCGGTTCAGAGGGGTCACACTGATCGGGTGGCCGGTGGCTCCCGTGCTCATCCCTGGGGGAAGGAAGAAGAGAAGGCAAGAGTGGGAGAGAGCCGGCTGGCTCTTTTTGGCCCTCCACGGTCCTCTTGTGGGTTGTTCTTGCTTCCGATCCCATCGCACTCTCTTATCAATGGGATCTGTATCCACTGACTCACTTGAAATATTAAAAGTAAAATACTGTACAGTACTAGAAAAATATATTTCTAAAGGTGAAGTTACCAGGAGTGGCCACAAGAGGGAACCAGAGACCACCCTACAAAGATTGTTCGCTATTACGATACAGTGGTGCCTCTCAAGACTAAGTTAATTCGTTCCGTTAAAAACGCTATCTTGCGAAAACATTGTCTTGCAAAACGCGGTTCCCCATTGGAATGCATTGAAATCTATTTAATGCGTTCCAATGGGGGAAAATCGTCTTGCGAAAATCGTCCATAGAAAACATTGTCTTGCGAAGCACAACAGCGATTGCAAAAACCAATCGTCTTGCAGATTAATCATCCCGCGAGGCAATCATCTTGCAAGGCACCACTGTAATAGCATTCCTATGATCTGCGCTTTTTGGCATCTGCGGGAGGGCTTGGAACCGATCCCCCATGGATACAGGGGTCCTCATAGCGTCCTCTTTCTTTCAAGAGTGTGACTTCCATTTAATGAAGGTGTTTTTCTCCTTCCCGATTGTAGCTGATATCATTACACTTATTAGCTGACCTGTATTGATCATAGGGATTTTCCCCCTATTGGTTGAACTGAAGGCAGGTGGGAGTCCGATCCTTCCCAGGGCCTCCAGGAAGGAAAAGCCAGCCTGGGTAGCCTCGGGCGAGCTGCACGGCGGCCCCAGAGCGCCCCCAGGAGGAGGGAACAGAAACTCCTTTCTGCATAAAACACTTGGGGAAAGATTGCCTGTGATGATCGCTTGATTTCCACAGCTCAGAAAATGGGCAAATCTCCTGCCCGATGGAATGGAGAGTAAATGGGCAGAAAATTACACCCCTCCCAATCCCGTTCCCTCTGGCTGTGCAGCCAGCCACAAACTGCCGCGCACACCCAAGCTCTGCCCTGCCGAGCAACCACGAGAGATGCCTGGGGCGATAGCTTCAGGTCGGCCTTCCTCTTGACTTTTTAAGGCTGCCCGGCCCACCCCGGATTCATGCAGAATAACGCTGGGGAGCTGCAGCCCCTTTGAGCTACTTACCACAGGCGTCACACTCCATCACTGTGTTCTTCAGGAAAGTGATCTCTTTGATCTAGGAGAAAGGGCAAATCAACAGCCCCAAGTCAATAGTCCCTAGTGACTGCAAGGAGTCGAGTTCAAAACACCCTGCCTTGCGTTTGGGCTGGGAAAGAGCGCTTTGGCCTCGAGAAGCTCGCAGGACCGCCTGGCAGAGAAGCACAGAGGCGGACGTGTGCATTTTTGGACTACAACTCCCGTAAATGCCAAAGGGATTCTGGGAGTCGTAGTCCGGAACATACACATCTGCTCTAGCTGGCAGAGCTTCGGAGAAGGCAGCTGGGAGGCTGAGCCCACAATTCACAGGCCAATTAAAATGATCTATTAATTCTCTTTTTGCTGACGCCAGTTTTCCTTCACCACTTCGGACAAGAGAAGGATCCTTTTAAGGAGAAAGATGGGATGAAAATATACTAAATAAAATAAGGCAATGACTCCTGGATCATATACATCCTGCTTTTATTATCTAAGAGGTACCGTAAGGACCCCTCTTATCCGTGGGATCGGTATCCACTGATTCACTTAGCCACGGTCTGAAAATATTAAAAATAGTATTAAAAAGAAAATACCCCAATGTATATTTCTAACAATGAATTTACCAAAATTGGCCACAAGAGAGAGCCGGAGACCATGCTACATACCACATTTGCTATTCTAAGCGTGTTTGCTATAATCCGCATTTTTCAGCATCCACAGGGGTTTCTAACATACACCCAGAGAGTTACCACTTGTGACTCTCCAGCTCCTACTTTGGGATGCCAACCAGTTATGGGCCCCGTGTGTTTTGACATTTAATTTAAGCCAGAACTGGCTGCAGATGTGGACAGAGCGGGTGGTTTGGTGATCACTGCCAATCTCAGATGAGAGATGCTTGATGAGGACATATACATTTCAAAGGAAATTGAAGCCACTTCCTGCCAACAAGCAAAATACATGCCCTGCCATCTTTTGGAGAAACATTTGTTTGGAAAAAAAGAATAATTATTTTAAAGGCCAGTGCCCAGAGGAGAACAGGGAGGGCAGTGAGAAGGCCATGGGGACAGTTTGTTTAAATTGCCTTCGTTTTGGAAAAGGGAGAGGAAAAAACAGGGAAAATGTTTACGGATGAGCTGTCCGGAGCTGCAAAGATTGATCTTTCCAGAATGAGGCGCCAGGAAGGAGCCGGGCAGCCTAACCGGCTGGTGGCCATTCTTGCTGCATCTTGTGGCAGTGAATTCCGACGTTTCATTCTGTGCCAGGTGAAGAAATCTTGGTTGGTTTGTTTTTTAAAATCTGTCTTGAATCCTCCACTTTTCGGGGACCTGGGGAAGTTTTTGGAGTGAAACTCCAAAACTCAGACATTTCCACTTTTTATGGTCCGCTTTTCCTTCGGCGAACTCAGGAGGCTATATTTTGGGTCTCATACTCTACACATTGTGTATGTTGTTATCTATGTGCTTTGCTCTTGAGCTGCACTGCATAGAATAGGAGACAAGACGAAGGCAACACAGCGTCCCGTCGCGTAACGAAACGTGCAATCCTTTTCTGGGGGCAAAGAGGAGATTTAATAGTCCGGAAATGAAAATAAAATACCAAAGGAGTATTTGCAGGGGAGGCAAAAGGGACGAATGCACAGCAAAGCAAAGAGAATGTTTCCCACTGAAAGCCAAACCCGTAATAATGGTTCATTGGAACCTTTGACCTTAAAAAGGGGGGCAAAAAAATTAAGGTGCAGTAGTTGCCACTTAGCTGGCAGGAGAGCTCAGAGGCCACTGAGCCAGAGGTGGCGAGTTCAATTCCCCCACTGGGCCTACCGGGAGAAGAGCCAGCCTGGGTGGCCTTGGGCAAAAGCGGCACGCAGCCCCAGGGTGCCCCTAGAGGAAGGGAAGGGTAAAGCACTGCTGGGAGGACTCTATACTACCTGGAAAACCCCAGAAAGGGTCACTGTGAATCAGAATTGACTTGAAAAATAATAATAATCTCTCTCTCTCTCCCTCTCTCTCTCTCTCTCTCTCTCACACACACACACACACAAAGAAGGGCAGAGGGTCTCGGCCCAAAAGTTATCGAGATTCCCCCCCCCCCCCCCCTGCGAGTCAGGTT